TGAGAATGTCGCATGTGCCTTCTACAATTGGAACTAAATTTGGACATGTGAACTACAATGAAGATCAATTGATGGTAACATATGATGAGTCAACATTAACAACAAGTGGTTTCAAAGAAAGTATACTCATCAATGATTCAACGAGATGATATGCAAGTTATTGTGTAAGTAAGCCTTCCATTGTCTTGTATTTGACAAATAAATTGTATATCAAGGTTACCGAGTACGATTTTTGTTGTATCTCCCTCCTTTTTTGTTGGTGATTTGTATCACCAATATCATTTAAATGTAATGAGATTAATTTGTTTACCAATGTAATCTTTTTAAATGTAATGAGATTAATTTGTTTACCAATGTAATCTTGATAAATATAGAACAAGTAAGGGTGGTGGGGAGTGCACACTTGTTTGAGTTTATTTCGATTTAAAGTATACTGTTATTTAGGGGCGAAACCCCTAATCAACGGGGGTCTGGGGCAGCGCCCTTGGTAGCGGGTTCCAAGGGGTAGAGCCCCTGGTTAATGTTACTATATGGAAAATGCACGAAAATCCGAATTTATGATTTTGAACCCGATTTTTGGCTCTATTTTTAAACTCGGTTCGGTGGTTCTGAAACTGTCGGTTTTGATAGTTCATAACAATTGATTCTCTGTTCGAAATTATTGAATTTTATCTGATTGAAGTTTCGATTGTACCATCGAAATATTTTAATCTGAAAGTGAATCACGACTTTCAGTATTCCAAGCAATCGAAACACCCAGGATTTGTAACATTTTTTGCTCTATTTGTCTAGTCTTTTCCATGGCCATTTTGCTTTGAGCAAGCATTATAATTTTCATTGTATGCACGTTCTTAGTTAATACAAAGTGTCTTTTCCATATAACATTTTCACTACTAAACATGATAGTTTCTCTGGCGAAAAATTCCGTCAAAAATCTGCGCGTGGATTTCCCGACCGGAAAACCTTCGCCGAAAAACACTATTTCCACCGGAACTCTGCTACTTATTTTTTTCAATTTTTTCAATTTCCTTGACTTAATTAATTAAATTAATGACTAAAATTATCGTTGGATTTTTGATGGATTATTGGCCGGTAATTTAATTAGATTTTTTTACAAATCTTATTTTGTTTTTAAATTTTTTATTATATTATTTTTCTGTGAATTATTTAAAAATAAAATAATCACCGGCAGATTTATACGCCTCTAATCCATTGGTAATTTTGAACTTTTCATTAAAAAATAATTGAAAATTACTATTCATTTTATTCGAATTTTCTAAACAAATACACACATATATAGGAGACATTTCATTTACAGACCATGCAATTTTAACAAACTTTACAAATCAATCTTACCTCTCCATCTAGTCTAATAAATATCTGATTTTATTTCGTTAATCAAATTCTATTTTGACATTTGGTTACCCATGGAATTGAATTGAATTCCAAATATTCCCTYAAATGTGGATTTCACCATTCCTTCGTAAAAGAAATGGAATTGGAATCCGTTCTAACCAATATTTTCAAAATGACAAAAATACCCTCATTAAAACTTAAAAACTCTAATCGCACCATCTTTCTCATCTACTGCTTCATCGACCGAACGCCTCACTCCTTTGACTCTCTCCACCAATTTTGACTTCTTCCTCTTGCGATGCAAATATGATTTTGTTTATGTTTATGTTACGATCTCCGTTTCTATTTCGATTTCTTTCCTTCATCTCCAATTTTTCTTATTTCCTTCATTGAACTGCTTATAGATCTACCTCTTCGATTTTTACTTCTTTCCTTCATTTTTTTTACTTCTCATCAATCGATGTACGATTTTATTACTGTTCATGGATCGACTTCTCCCTTCTTCATTTTTGTTCTTGATGTAGATGTGGGTCACAATTTGGTTAATATTTTTGTTACGATTTTGTTAGTCTTCAATTTTTGTTATTGTTTTGATTACTGGTTACTGTATTGGGTTATGATTTTGTTACTATTTTTGGGTTATATTTTTGTTATTGATTTTGGTTACTGATTTGTTACTGCTCCATATTACTACTTCATAATCATCAAGTTGTATATTTGCATCACTTTGGGCATATTTTTGTGTATATTTTTGTTTTTGTGTGGATGTCTTTTGTTAATAACATATTGTTTTCTAGAACAGGAAATAGTCCGACTTATTTTAGCAACAACACGCAGACGTAGGCTTACTAGATTGTTTTGGAAAGCTATGATTGTTATTGTTTAGTATATTGTTATGATATTAAAATTAATAGCTAACTACCAAACGGATAAACCATGTATTCAATATTCTTTGTTAAATGTGSATCGATTTATAATATTACATAAGTATGCTTATGATAGTGATACTATTTACATATCATATCTTAGGATGAATAGAAGGTGTTTTAATAAGTTATGTATATGCTTGAAACTTTAGGTTTGGTTTATACCGGTAAGGTACTCGMGCAATGCTTTGGTGTGCATCTTGATTTAAAATCAAGAACTTAAAAATGTCAATCGTGTTACATTTTTGTCTCTTTTTTGTCCATCTGATGCTAGTTATATACCCGTACCATGTAACTTATGTAAATTTTGAATACATGTAAGCAAGTATACCTAGTACAAATAGATTTTTAGCAAATAAAATATATATATTGATCCATTTTACATTTTTATCTATATAGACATATAACAAGTTTCAAATACAACATATTTTATTTATAGAACCAATACAACCTGATTTAAACCGTCCATGTTAAGATGAAGTTGCATTGGTTGTACAAATGAAATATGTTATAAGATAAACCATCTCTACTGGCCTAACTATAGCATAAATACCCACGAGGATTGAGAAGGCCTTGGGTTTACTCTTTGGTTCGACTTCCCCTTAGGATACTGAATGTTTGTCTAACTGTTAATTTTAGGACGCAGTCGAGATACATGCAAATTGGTATGAACAATCGTAGTTACCATGCAACCTAATCACCGGGTTTGGGGCCAAACCAAAATGAGCTCAAGTGTAACCACCAGGAAATGGAAGGGTAGGGTTTAAGGTTTAGGATTTAATATGCAACCCTGAGTGCCTCAATTACCCAAAAGAGTAGTAGTTATATGATAGGATCATGGTATGGCTATAAATGCAAGTCAACCCAAAACCAATCATGGAATCACCTACTACCCATTTCAAGACAAACTTTCTTCTTCGTCGTACGTGGCATAACACAATTCCACATACTATCTATTCCAAGACTATTCTACTTAATAAACCAAAAATAAAAACAAAACAAATAAAAAAGAGAAACTTCTCGTCTTTTTGCATGATCCTTCCTCACTTTCTCTCTCTCTCTTTCTTTATATATATATATATATATATATATATAATTTAGTCAAAACAAAAATGAAAGAAAGTTGAAAGAGATGTTGCATAAAGTATACAAGAAATTCTTGTATGCTACAGAAAATGTTACGATGAGTTGAGGGGAAACATGAAACTCGTATGACTTTTAACATATCATTAGTAGTAGGCTTATACATGATATTTTTTTTTTGTGAAAACATACGTATCCTTTCCCGATATACTTTAAATTTTCATTTCTAAATGAAATTTGGACCCGTTGGACAAAGTAGCAAAAATCAACGTCATTGTCTACCATCAAAGACTTGATAAGTCTAAAAGTTTTTTTACAATAATTCAATACCAATAAACGCTCCTACATGTTTATTATTGTCCTAACATATAAAGTTTCTAACATGTTAAATTGTGCTCTATTTCTAAGTGTCGACAAACATGAATCGACAGTTTGACCAAGTCTCAAGCAAACTTGTTCACAACAGGAGCGATAATGTATCAAAAAAATAAAATTGTGTATTTCTTTTTAGTAATAAAAAGAAAAGTGTTGTATTATAATTGAAACAAGAGAAAACATGATATTCCATGTTAAGACAATCATAGTAATAATTTCCTGAGTTCAATGCAAATTTGATACTTATTTACGTAAACTAATGCGTAAAGATTTTGAAAAGAATTCTTAACGAAGACAACAATGTGTTTTCAATTTTCTAATAGACAATCTCATGGAAATTGAATGGTTGGTATTTTATGGAATTTCGTAGGATTAATATTTTAAAATATGTTTAAAACATTAAGTAATCAAAAAGTGATTTGATTATTTTTACAAGTTATTTATGAAAAAAATGAATTCAATTTCAAATTCAAAGGACCCAAAATGTTTAAATATTTATTAACTTTTTAATAATTTATCAAATGATCAATGGAAGTAAATCAGTAGTTCTACTGTCCAATAATTCTACAAGTAATCCTGAAAATAGAAAGTGTCCATCACTTTCAAGTTTTAACTTTTATGTGCACGACTTTGACTTTTCAGTCGTCTGTGTGATAAGATTTTTGAACAACCCTCAAGTCACTCAAAATTTTGGGCCCTAACATTGTTTAAGGAACTATTGTTCATAAATTGTTCATATTGTTGTTCATATGTACACTAGCTGCATATCTCAACATTGGCTTGCTCCTGAATGTGTTCATAATGAAGGAACTATTATTTACAAAC